AAGAGCTAATGTTTAGAAATGCTAGTTAGTTAGCTTGATGGTGAAATTATATTTAGATCTGATGCTTTCCTATGGGAACTAATCCCGTATGTGGCGACAGTTGCAAGAATAGGGTTTAAATGTCACAGGCCAAAGACAGCTTTCGGTGCCTTTTTGGGACTTGTGGAGTATCCCAAAACATCTTTGCAAAAAATGGGATACCATCTCCTGGTTAAAAAAAAAAGCCACCCATCTTGTTTTGAAACCCCACAGCAGTGTGTTTTTTAAAAGAAATGGTAGGTTACCTTCACTCCAAAGCATTGCTTGGAATCACCGTCCAGAATCTTGTTGCATTAAATTAGACTCGCATAATGGCGATGACATCACTGATAGGTGGATATTTTTTGTAACTAAAGACTTCCTACTTCTGCGCCATGGCTTTCCCAACTTGCGTGGAATCAGTCTCATTGTATGCGAGCCATAGAAGCTCTGGAACAGAAGGAAGGATTCTTTAATTACCAAAAATCTTCCTCTGCTGATGACATCATCACACTTACACAGGTGTAATGTACACAACAGGATTTTGGCCATAGAATTGTTGACCTGTGAAGGATCCAGGGGCATCTTGTCCCACCCCTGCAGATGCAGGAATCCACAGCTACAACATAGTTTACAGATGGTTACCAAATCTTTGTTTAAACACTTACAATGAATGAGAATCTGTTACATTCTAAAGTAATCTAATACACTGTTGAACAGCGATTACTGTTGAGACTGGCTTCTTAATGTTTAGTTACAGTAGAATGCCACTCCAAGGTTTTTGTTTTTTGCAGGAGTTTTCTAATCCCCCAACATGTTCAGCACCTTGGCTAGCTCCTTTAAAGTTTTGATTGAAACCTGGAGTGGATTCATCCCTTGAGTCACCAGTGTCTTCTGCTTTCTATGGTGTGGGAACTATGGGACAGAAAGAAGTCTGCAGTTAACGAAAATCACCACCACTACATGGCATTAACAGTAGGAGGCAATTGTTGCTAATTAAAGATTTCTTCCTTCTGTCCCATGGTTCCCACACCTTCCATGCAATGTAACAGCCAGAAAAGCCATGGGACAGAAGTAGGAAGTTTTTAATTACCAAAAAATCTTTCCATGCCCATGATTTTATAAACCTTCTGCAGGCATATGTTATGCAAGAGGATTTCAGCCAATGTTATTAAAGGAATAGAATAATAATTAGGAGGAAATAGCTTTTGTAGAGCTCATGGGTATGAGGGTGGCCTTATTTTGGAACAGCCTCCAACACTACCATTGTGTTGCATTATCTTGCCTGCAGAGGAACTTCATGAGATGCACAGAGGACAATCCCATCTTTGAAGGCATCGACTGCGAAATTTTCGAATCTCGTTATCCAACCACTATGGCGCTCTCGGTACTCGTGACCATCGAGATGTGCAATGCACTGAACAGGTATGGAGATCATCACAGAGGTCTAACGTTCCCTCTTCCTTTACAACTTTTTAGTTTCAAAGTTCTGCGTATAGAATTAGAAATAGGTTTGCGATAGGATAGAGAAACCAAATGTTACTGCAAGTCGTTGTCGTTTAGTCGTGTCCGACGCTTCGTGACCCCATGGACCAGAGCACGCCAGGCCCTCCTATCTTCTGCTGCCTCCCGGAGTTGTGTCAAATTCATGTTGGTTGCTTTGCAGACACTGTCCAGCCATCTCATCCTCGGTCGTCCCCTACTGCAAGTAGAAAATATTAAAAGAAAAATCCCCAAAATATATATTTTTAACGATGAAGTAACCAGAACTGGCCGATAGAGGGAGCCAGAGACCATGTTATTTATAATGTTGGCTAGAGAAATATATTTCCATTATGTCACTAACAGAACTGGCCATGAGAGATCACACTGTATATAGTGTTGGCTATTAAAATAGCATTTGCTACAATCTGCATTTTTACAGAGGACAATCCCATCTTTGAAGGCATCGACTGCGAAATTTTCGAATCTCGTTATCCAACCACTATGGCGCTCTCGGTACTCGTGACCATCGAGATGTGCAATGCACTGAACAGGTATGGAGATCACCATGGAGGTTTAACTTTCCCTCTTCCTTTCCGACTGTTTAGTTTAAAAGATCTGCGTATAGAATTAGAAATAGGTTTGCGATAGGATAATATATGTGACAGAGAAACCAAATGTCACTGCAAGTAGAAAATATTAAAAGAAAAATCCCCAAAATATATATTTTTAACGATGAAGTAACCAGAACTGGCCGATAGAGGGAGCCAGAGACCATGTTATTTATAATGTTGGCTAGAGAAATATATTTCCATTATGTCACTAACAGAACTGGCCATGAGAGATCACACTGTATATAGTGTTGGCTATTAAAATAGCATTTGCTACAATCTGCATTTTTCAGCAGCTGTGGGGAGGGGGCTTGGAACTCACCCCCTGTGGATACGGGGATCCTAACGTACTTATTCTGCTGCAAGACTCCTTTAGCCATCATTTTTAATTGTTAAGATCGTTAATCGTTTGTGATGGTTGCTCTCATAGACAGGCTGAACTGTGGATTTCATGTGTTTCCTTGACACCAAAATTGGGGGTCGTTTTAGGTGCGATGAGCTCTCGAGAGTGAGGGCCTTCAGCGCTAGACTGATCCAAAGGGCTGAAGCACACGCAGGAATAGGGGAGGAAGTTACTTTTCCGACTTCGACTATCGATAGTATCTGGGGAATAGCAGTCCAAAAAAAAAGGAACTTTAGCAAGTCCTGGGCGTGAAATGCTGATTTTGGTTTCTTCTGCAGCGTGTCTGAAAACCAGTCTCTGCTCCGGATGCCTCCCTGGTTGAACATCTGGCTGCTGGGGGCCATCATCATGTCCATGGCCCTTCACTTCCTGATTCTCTATGTGAAACCATTGCCCGTAAGTAGCTGCTATCCTATGCCTTTAAGGTGTTGAGAGGGAAGATGGCCATCATTAGAAGTGCCCGGACTTGGTTTTGGACTACAACTCCCAGAATTCCACATGCTGCTGCCTGTAGAATTCTGGGTGATGTAGTCTAAAAATTACGAGTCTGCTCATATCTGTTCACTAGCCTTCCTATCTTCTTTGCTCTTCGGGCTGGGTGGATTGGGTTGTTAGGATCTCTTTCAGCGTAGGACCTTTCAATGTGGAAAGAAGAAGTTGGCTCTTTGAGGTCCAACTATTTATTCACGTAGACCAGGCACGGGTCGCTAAACCACATGTCCCATGTGCCCCCAACAATCCTAGACAGTTCTGAAACCTCCCTTGAACCAACCCTCACCGCTAGTGGGAGGGGAGGGGGAATCCATCCAAAAAGGAAAAAAAGGAGGCCACTCTAGAAAGGTCTCCTCTAAAGTAAGATCCAGGGTCTGCTTTTGTAGGTGGATGCATGGGGAAGAGATAATCTGATTCCCCCCCCCCCCACAAACCCAAAGGGAAATTTCCAGT